CAGCTCTTCACCAGTACTTTCTGAGTGCTTTCCAATCTGAAGGGATCATCTTCTGGCACTGTATCAGACAGTGTTCCATTTTCAATTGCCATATACTCTAGTTCACCAATTCTTTTTTCTGTCAGTTCAAATCTGCTATTAAGCACCTCCAATAAATTTTTCATATCGGCTACTGTATTTTTCATTCTGAGTAATTGTTTGGTTCCTTTTAGAATATTTATTGATATACTTATTTTGTTCATGTATCATCTTTCATTTTTTCCCTGTTTACCTTAAGTTCTTTCAGCATATTTAAAACTGTTGTTTTAAAATCGTCTATTTTTTCCATTCTTGAGGCTCTTTTTAGAGATAATTTATCTTCCTCTATCTTGTTGTTTTTAATGGATCATTCTTTCCAATTGTTTTCATGTCTTATAATTTCACGCTGAAGTTGGAACTACAGAACAATACAATGTATTAGCTTTGAGCATGCACATGGTTTTCTCTATTCCCCAGCATACATGATGCTTTTGAAAACCTAATTTCTTCAAGATAGTCTTTTTCTGAGTCCTTAGTCAGTTCTTATAAGTTAATTGTCTGCTTCAGTTGCATCATGTAATCTAAGATGATTAGAGTAGTCATTGTTCACTGTTCCCTCCTCACCCTACAAGGCCAAACCAAGGCTTCCATTTTCAGGCAGCCCCCTAAGTAGATTAGAACAAGCAAAATCAACAGTCCACTAGGACCCCTCTCTGAGAAAGACCATGTTTCACCTCCGCCTCGGCCACAGAGCTCAAAGGGCAAAGGCTGGAAACAATAGCAAAGAAAAAAAAAATTCCCATCATTTAAAGGTCACCTTTTTCTTGTTTCTGTGTAAGCTGAGTTGCTGTAACCCTCAGCTAACTTTTCAGACTTCTCATAGAGTAAAATTTATAGATTTCTAGTTGCTTTCCTTGGTGATTATATGGGGATTGAAATTTGTGAAGTTGCTTATGGCACTATCTTTCTAGAAGTTCTCCAAGTGATCATTTTGATCTTAGATTTGTAAATATGTGCATAAAGTAAAAATATAGACAAAATACTAAAAATATATGAACCATTATATTATTAATAATAATCTCTTTGTATTGAGATTACACCTGATTTTATGTTCTTCTTTAAATTCTTCTTAATTTTCTTAGTGAAAATTTTCACTTAGTGAAAGTACCCCTAGAGCTGGCACTTTGAACTCAGACTTCTAGCTTCCTGAACTGTAAGAGAATAAATCCTTGTTTGTTAAAGCCATATGTTTGTGGTCTATCTGTTACAAGCAGCACTAGAGAACCAAAACATATTCCATCTTGTCTGGCCTTCCTTCTCTTCTCAGATCTCCTCCAGAGAAGCTGAATAACAAATATCTCTCCTCAGAGATCCACAGAGGCACCTTCTTCTTGTTACTCTGGGCTCACCTGGAGTATCACCTACTCAGACTTCCTCAGACAGGCCTTCCCTGATTTCCTCCAATCAAATGGTTTCTGGCTATATCCTCACTGGTACATTGCCCCTTACAAACACTCAATCCCATCACCTGTCTTATGTTCTTCAGAGCACTAACACTATTTGAAATTATTTTGTCTGTCCCCTTGTTTATATTCCGTCCCTCCTAAGTAGGGTATAAACTTTTGTTAAAGAGACTAAGCCTGTGTGATAGTTAAGATTGTGTATCACCTTGGCTGGGCACTAATTCTAAGTGGTTTAGCAGTTATGACGTAATCATCCCCCACGATGAAATCTGATATAATGTAATCACCTCTATGATGAGATCTGCTATGAGCAGCCAATCAGTTGAAAGGGAGTTTTCTTCAAGGTGTAACCAGCTTCCAATAAATATATGGAAAAGCTCTGGCAAAGCTCTCCGGCTTTTTGCTTGTTCTGGATCCTGCATTTGGCTCATCATCATCTGATCGCTAGTTCTTGGACTTGAACTAGTGGCCTGCCATATTGCCTGCCGACTCTGAAAGTGTTGCCAATTATATATATTTCACTGGTTTTCCTTCTCTAGAGAACCCAACCTAAGACAGTCAGAGACTCATGGATCTAACAATTACCATAACAGAAAACCCATCAGCTTAGGCTGAAGGGGACAGAGAAAGAACAAAAGGAAGAATGCTGCCTCTTGGAATTCTAAAGGCAGGAAACAGGCCAAAGGAGTTATATATGTTGTCCTCCAAGGAAACAAAGAGACCATCCCTGGAGCAACTCAGAAATGAGCACAATTCTTGGAAGGACCACAGAAATCAAGGCTTTCTCAGTTTCAAAGTGTGGGGCCACTGCCTCCTGAATCTCAAAGGGTAAGGTCACAGTCTCCCATATTTCAAAGAGTCAGGTCTTCACCAACTTTGTTCCACAGTGTGGGTTGCTGTTAAGGTGTGGCAGGGGAATTGGGCCACTGCCCAAAGTTGAGGGGCTGAGGCTGTCATGCCCAAGAGGCAGAAGAACAGGGCCTTCTAGGGCCTGGAGGTTTGGGTCACCACTCAGATGGATTAGGAAAATGGAGGTGCCCAAAGTCAAGAGGCCAGAATGTCATTCCATGAGTCTGGAAGGCAGAGGAAATGCCCAGGGCTGCGGGGCCTTCACTTAGAATACAGAAAGCATGGCCAGTACTGTGTGTCTAGGGGAGGGCCATGGTCCAGATGGTCACAGAGAAAAGAGGATTATGTTCAGTCCTTGAGAGCTAATGTTAATTACTCTGCTGGGTTTTGGACTTGTGTGGTACCTGTTATCCCTTCTTTATCTCCAGTTTCTCCCCATTTATAATGGAAATGCCTACCTTACACCTGTTCCACCACTGTACTTTAGAAACAAGTAACTTGTAGTGTATATTTCAGTGGTTCTCAGAGGAATCAAAATTTAGCCCCCAGATATAATATGCCTAATGTCTCATCCATATTTGATTTAGATCAAAAGATGAGATTTTGGACTTGGAGTTGATTTATGATTTTTGGGATGATGTGAAGGGGTGATTGTGTTTTATATGTGGCAAGGACATGAATTTCGGGAAGCAAAGGGTGAAATATTATGGATTGAACTATGTCCCTAAAAAATATGTATTATAAATCCCAATCCTTATGCCTGAAGTCAGGAGCTCTGGTAACATAGTGGCTAAAGCACTTGACTGCTAACCAGAAGGCTGGCGATTCAAACCCACCAGCCACTCCTCGGAAGGAAGGTTGGGCAATCCTACTTCCGTAGTGATACTGCCTCCGAGACCCAAGGAGGGGTTGCTATGAGTCAAAGCTGACTTGAAGGCACATAACAACAACAACAACAACAACAACATGCCTGAAGTTATAACCCCATTTGAAAATGGGTTGCCTTTGTTATGTTAATGACATAGGTTTAGTGTAGGGTGTATCTTGAGTTAATCTCCTTTGAAATATAAAAGAGATTAAATAAGCAAGAGAAGCATAAATGGGGAAAAAGAGGTGCCAAGCCACATGAAGATCACCCAGGAGCAGAAGCTCAAGAGAGACAAGGACCTTCCTCCAGAGCCAAGTGGTAGTTTTTCTAATGCAATTACTGTAGCATTTAATGACTTAGAAAATTCAATAGGAAAAAATAGATCAACAGATTGTTGAAACAAAATATGTTTACTCTAAGACTGAAAATTCTTAGTAGAATTTAAATCAGACTAATTAGAGTAAAGTAAATGCAAGACATGCTTTATTCTCTATTTGGACTTTCACAGATCAAACTTACTATGTAAACCTGGCAATTATTCATACTCTTAAAATTTCAACTTTTATTATAAAAAACAAAATTCAAGGCTTTGATTTTAATGGAGAAGAACCATGGTAAACACTGTAATCAAGCAGTTCCATTCTACACTCCTGGGCAAAAAATAAAGGTTAACTGGTCCAGTAAGTTGAAAGAATGCTGCATGCTATATTCCCCCTATGAAGATTAACAATACATATTACCATGTTAAAAACTGGGAGAAGTTATATAATTGAAAGTATCTCTAACTTTGACCCAGTGCTTCTCAAACTTATATATAACAATAGTCCTCTTTTTCACACTTCACTGGACCCTAGCATTCTAAAGTAGGGCTTCTCAAACTTCAAAATTCAAACAAATCAGGGGGAAAGCGGAAGCTTTTGTTTGCAGGGTATTGAATTTATGCTAACCATGGTGGAATATTTTGGAAAAAGATAGTAATAAAGGTGGCACAACATGAAAAATGTCATCAACATCCTTAAGCTGTAAATGGGGAAGTTGCTATGTTGGTGAATGTCTTGTTGCATATTTCACCACAATAAAATTAAAAAAAAAAAAAAGATTCAAACAAATCACCTGGAAATTTTGTTAAAATGAAGGTTCTGATTCAACAAGCCTGTAGTTAGGCCTGAAATTTTGCATTTCTAACAAATTCCCAAGTGACACTGCTGGTCCAGAAGCTACTCTTTAGCAAGGAGCCAGAAAAGACACTTGAAGAGGGTTAATACAGAGATTCCTTTATAGGTATACAGCTTTGTGATGTAACGTTAATACTTATAAACTCTATTGTATACAAAATAAAAGAATATCAGAGTATTAGAAGGAGACTAAGTTAAACACAGGAGAAATGGGACTCTGAAAATAATCTGGATGGGTAGAGCATTAGACAGAGAAAAGAATAAAATGGATCAGAATAAGCAGTCAACATAAAACGCTCCTCTCAATGGAAAGAAATATACATGAAAAACAGACAGGAGCTGAGCATGATACATACGAAATACTAACACACAGGAGTCATAACATCTCTAATATTTCATTATTAAAATGAGGACAGGAAGGCAAAAGCTCTTTACGGGATTCCTATTTTAATCATTAAAAGATTCTTATTTGAAATGAATGCTCTGTGGCACAGAGTTTGGCAAAGTTCAAAAGCCCCCCCCCCAATGAAAAATAAATTCTAGAGATGACATTACTTGGTGAGTTACTAAAATTGTAGAAGAAAAAGAAATTATTTTTTTAAGTAGAGTTGTAAAGTGAAATCTAACCTTTTCTTGGATAAGTCTTTGAAGATGAATTCCACAGGACAACATAGCAGTGAACAAGGTCAACATATACTGCTGAACTCTGCAGATGGCAGAGGCCAAGGAATTTAACACCGTGTTCAAACCCACTTTCTCAATAACGTTCTGGAAGGCAGTAGGAGAATGGCGAGTGATTCTACACAAGGCCTGTAGAGACAGAAGAACATATTGTCAGACAAATCCAAGCCCATTTACCATGCTCTGCAAAGATCACATATACTTCTGTGAAAAGGAATGGAAGGCGCTTACCTTGCTCCTTCATTATTAATTTTGGCACAAAAAAGTAGGAAAATTTCAGCACATTTAAAAACAAAACAATAATCCAACTGTGAATAAAAACTAAAGTTGTTTTAAAATGTTAGATAGCATCACAAAAATCATATAAATAAGCTAACTAATTCATAAGTATGTATAGAAATATAACACTAAGTAATTAAAAACATTATTAAGCACTTTGTGCAGTTGCTAAGTGCTAAAAAATATCATAAACTTGATATCTAATTTTGATTGAGTACTCATTATATGAGCAACACTATCTGAGAACATATGAGGATGATTTCATTTAATCCTCCTGACAACATATAAGAAAAATATTACAATGCCCCATTTTACAGATAATAAAACCGAGGCATAGAACACATAAGTAATTGCCCAAAGTTATACAGCTAGTAAGCTGCAAAGCTGAAATTCAAATGGAGACAGGCAGACCCATTTCTGTTCCTGAATTACTCACAGACTATTACAGATGGAACGTATAGATAACAAATAAATAGAACTGATTAAAGGGTATAATAAAAGTGGGCTCATTTAATTATAATTGGAAAAGGAGAAAAAGCAAGTCAGCAAAAGCTACAAGAAAGTAAAAGCTGTAAGAAGTAGGATATTGGGCTTTGAAGGGAAAATAGGAGATGAAAAACAAAAAACCAACCTCACTGCCATGGAGTCAGATCTGACTTATAGTGACCCCTCCTTGGCTTTCCAAGGAGATATCACTACAGAAGTAGACTGCCCAACCAAGTGAAAAAAGTGAGTTAAAAATCATTCTAGCCAGAGGGAACTAAACAGTATTCACAGGGAGGCATGAAGATGTGGAACATGTTCTAGGCAAAGCAAGCTGTCTGATAGATAACAGTAGAACATATATCGGACATAGGAGTTCTGGTAGCATAGTGCCTAAGGCACTTGACTGCTAACCAGAAGGCTGGCAGTTCAAACCCACCAGCCACTCTTCAGAAAGAAGGTTGGGCAATCTACTTCTGCAGTGATACCATCACAGAAACCCAAGGAGGGGTCGCTGAGTCGGGTCTGACTCAATGGCACATAACAACAACACATTGGATATAGGCAAATACGTACAGAGTATGAAAGAGGAAAATCTGATGATACGTTTTTTTAAAAGTAGGATGGAATTAGAACTCTGTTAGGAACTCTGAGTTTTATTATATAAGCAATGGAAAGCTTTCAAAAGTTTTTAAGCAAAAGAAAGAAATGGTCATGTCCCTTGTGTACACAGGAGACTCCAAAAAGAGAAAAAAGCTTAAGCCAGAAAGTTTTACAAAACCTTTCATTATAATAAATGTCACGTAACTTCCCTCTCTCTGATTTTACATGGATTTATAACCTTGGTTGATAATGAAAGGATCAAAGAGTAATTGTTAGAAATACTGTCATTTCTTCAAGGTGATCCTGAAAAGGAAGGATAAACATCTTTCTTCATCCCTCCTTAGCTCTTCCTAAGGGAAAGATCCTATAGCAGGTATATTTATTACTAGATAGTGGAATTGTATGTTTTAAAATGTTCAGCATGTAATCCATATGGTAAGCTAACTTAACTTAGGGCTTGACTCTTTGTGACAAGACCAATCACTCTTTTTTTCCTTTTGACTTTCACAACTACCCACTGATAAGGAAAAATGTCATGTAAATTGTAACCATACACCACAGGCTCCAGTCCAGTTGAATAGTGTTCTGCACTGAAGGTGAAGGGTAAGAACCAAAACAATAAAGTGGAGCATATCATCATTCCTATGGATGTGTTTCCATTAAGAAACCCACAGGGAGAAGGTGGTTATGGTTTAGAACAGGATTCAAGTATTCTCTGATCTCATACATTACATTCTAAGGGAACCCAACCCTAAAATATTAGACAAAAATAGCTCTTTTTAGAGAAACTCAGAATGAAAATAAAGAATAATGAAATTCTTATAGGAGCTGTACTGGTCAGGCTGAAAAAACAAAGTGGCAAAAAAACAAAGTTTAAATTATTAAATTATTCTGGACAATGGGGAAATAGAAAAATCTCTCAATTTTATGAAGCTACTACAGCCTCCTCAAATACAGCTGAAAAAGATAGTACAATAAGGGAAAAACACAGACCAACTTCATGAATAAACAAACATGAATAAAATATTCTAAATAAAATTCTAATAATTGAATCTCATTGGCTCTTTTATATTTTGTCTATTTTCTGGGTTTTCTAAAATATTATGATGTCAACTACAAATGCAGATAATTTTGTATTTTCTGTACGAATACTGTTAATTTTATTTTAATATATTAGTTATATTCCCCACAAACTATGGAATAATGTGGCAGGAGTCAGCATCTTTGTCTTGTTCCTGATTTTACTGGCTATGATTTCAGTATTCTACCATTTAGTATGATGTTCCCTATTGTTGTGAAATATTCTATCATAGTAGAGTCTTTACTTCTTTGCATATTTAACTAAGACTTTCTAAACTAACAATTGCTGCTGAATTGTATCAAATATCTTTTCAACTGTGTGTGTGTGTGTGTGTGTGTGTATATATATATATATATATATATATATTCCCCCCCCCATATAGTTTATCTGTCTTTAATTTGGGAGCTTTGGTGGCATAGTGCCTAAGGCATTTGACTGCTAACCAGAGGCTGGTGGTTCAAACCCATCAGCCACTCATCAAAAGGAAGACTGGGCAAAATCTACTTCTATAGTGATAGCACCTTGGAAACCCAAGGAAGGGTTGCTATGAGTCAGAACCAACTCCACAGCAGTGAGTTTGGTTTTTGAGATTGATGTTTAATTTACTGATATAATAAATTATGTTGATACATTTCCTGATGTTAAACCATCCCAGCATTTCTTAAATGGAAGTTCATTTTGATACTCTAGTGAGTTCAATTTGCCATTATTTCATGTAGAATTTCTGTATCTATATTCCTCCGTAAAATTGGTTCTTCATTTCCTTATGTATTCTATCTTCTACCAGCTTGGAGAGCTTTCCATCTTGTTCTCCACTGTCTATGATAGTTTAAATAACATAGGAATCACCTGTACTTTAAAAACCAGGTAGTACTCAAAGCTAAAACCACAGAAATTTCTGGCTCTAATTGTCTGTGATCGTTAAATTTATGTATGAACTTGTTAGGCTTTTCCCAACTATTTGACCAAATGCTTACTCTGTTGGTTGTCAAGGAATAGTTGCAAGTGATTATATCAGTTCATCTTAGGTAAAGTCAATTACCTCCAATAATGCAATCCAATGTGATGTGATTAAAATATTGTTGTTGTTGTTGTTGTGTGCTGTTGAGTCAGATCCGACTCATAGCAACCCCTCCTTGGGTTTCCGAGGCAGTATCACTACGGAAGTAGATTGCCCCATCTTCCTTCCAAGCAGTGGCTGGTGGGTTTGAACCTCCAGCCTCCTGGTTAGCAGTCAAGTGCCTTAGGCACTATGCTACCAGAATATATATCTAATATAATATAAGAGTCCCTGGGTGGCACAGTTAAGCACTCAACTATTAGCCAAAAGGCTGGTGGTTTGAACTCACCCAGAGGCACCTTGGGAGACTTTCCTGGTGTTCTGTTCTGCTTCCAAAAGTTGATAGCCTTTAAAAATCTATGGAGTAGTTGCACTTTGAACACATGGGGTCATCATGAGTTGGAACCAACTCAATGACAACCAACAAAAATGATGTAAAGTAATATAAACATCTACCATAATGTATTCCAACATAACTCAACCAATCAATCTGTTGAGGTCATACCAATGTACAGTAGATCCTAAGTCTGAGTGATAAAAACACCAGAATAGACATGGAGACACAGGACAACAGGGAGAATACAGACACCATGTGACGATCGTCAACAAGCGAATGAACTAAGGCACACCAGGGCTACCAACAAGGAAGGAATTGACACAAGACCCTGATTTGTAGTTTTAACCTCTAGATCTGTGAGAAAATAAATTTCTGGTCTTCAAGCCACTCATTTGTGTTATTTGTATTATAACAGCACTAGGTAACTAACCACTCCTTTGACAATTTGTTGTACTGTAGTGTCTTATGTATTGCTGTGAGACTGGTAGTTATGCCACCAGTATTTCAAAAAGCCAGCAGGGTCCCCATGATGGGCAGGTTTTACTGGAGCTTCCATACTAAGACAGACTGGGAAGAAGGACTGGGCCATCCACTTCTCAAAGAACTAGCCTCAAAAAATCTTATGAATAACAACAGGTAAGTAATGAGGAGCCCCCATGATGCAATGATTAAGGGCTCAGCTCATCTGCTAACTAAAGGATTAATGGTTTAAACCTGCCAGCCCCTCTGTGGGAAAAAGAGGTGGTAGTTTGCTCCTGAAACAATTACAACCTTTGAAACTCAGTTTTACTCTGTCCTATAGGGTTGCTGTGAGTCGGATTTGAGTAAATAGCAATGGGGTTTAAGTAACTGAGACAATGCTGCTCAAATGGTTCAAATAAATACAAATTACTTTTATAATAATTTCTTAAAATTACGTATTAATGCGAGTGATTATTCAAAACTTATATGGAAATGAACATATGACAAAGTCTGCTTTATTAATTAATATATAGATTTATTACCATCTCTGAAGTATCTGAGTCAACAAAATACTAGAAAAGGAGCATATGCAAAGCATTAACTATGTGTTGTTGTTACTTGCTGACAAACCACCTCTGACTCATGTCAACCTTATGTATAACAGAATGAGATGCTGCCCAGTCTTGTAGCATCTCATGATTATAGTATGTTTGAGTCCATTATTATGGTTACTGTGTCAATTCATCTTATCGATGACTTTCGCAATTACATACTGTTGCCTAAAAACACTAAGAAAAAAAGGACAAAATGAATGTCAGAAGAGA